ACATATTAAATGTAGTCATAAAAGTTGGTATACCAAATCGCTCAAGTAAAACATTTTACCATTTGGCTTGCAACATCATGAGCAATGCAAGCAATACCAAATATAATCATTCTGGGTGGTATAGACAATATGCACTGGACCTTTTTTCGTTTTGACATACAAAACATTAAACATCATGCACTAGCAGTATGCATGCTTACACGCAATCACGAAGTCATAAACTGTTGCTCACTAACCAATCTGAATATTTCAATTCAAACACTTCTATAGCACAATGCTAGTGTGAAGCTATTTATCTTTTAGAGTGAAACTTTTCATCAGATGCAATTTTATATCCATTTAAAAGCAGCCAACATATACAATTGTAAAAGAATGATGACATTATTCCAGATTTTATATATCACTGAAGGGGCTAAGGGATTCTTATGGGGAGGAGCCGATCAAAGGACTTTACTGAGAGGCGTTGACTTTACTGGTGCAGAGTTGTATTGGGGTCTGGGGGACCACCTCCAGTAAACGTTCGAAATTATGAGCCTCTGGAGCTTGATTTTTCTTGGGCCTGAATTTTCAGACTCAACATTTTGATATATTTCACCCGCTATACAACGATTTGGGAATATAAAATACTCTATCTCGTTAAATTATTCACCCCTTTTTGCTGTTTCTATTTTAAACAAATGGGACCTTCACTTCTTTAATAATTTATTGGTACTTCTAATAATTTTCACAGTTGTTATTCTGTATTTATATAGTTAAACTATAGTTATCTTTATCCAGAGGCTTAACATTAAAATAATCATCATGTGTAGTTTAATTTGCATGACAAAACAAGGTAAATATATACACAGAGTTCGAAATCCACATTATATACAAAAAATCTTTATATTGAAAAGAAGCTGAAAAAACATGAATAATATGTGTAGCTATCATTACACTATACCTGCATGAGGGTTCGAATTTTCATATCTGAAACATCACGATTATCACTATTAAATACAAAGTGCCTGGCAACAGATAGTTTAGCATCGTTCTTAATGATAGCACGTCCGGCTTCCTCGACGTAAAGCATGTCACGTGCATTTATTGTATATATATAGGAGATACTGTAAGTAGGATGTGAGGAGCTGCACGTTTAGCGCGCCTAATCTCGATATTTGACCGCCCATGTTTGAATGAATTCCTGGTAAGTTAACACTCCATGCCAGTTTCTCATCAAGTGCAGAATGGAAAATTGAAAGGGAATAGAAAGATGTGTTTGTTGTACCAAATAACATTCTTGCGTTAAAGTGGATAAATGTACTTCGATTATTTATCACCACTAACAGACCAAACTGGCAATTTGTAAAACAAGAAATATAGGAACCAGTACAGCCAACAGAGATGACCTTTGTCCTACATGCATGCAGCATGTATAACTTGCATGTGTAAATATTGATTTTGATCTTATAATAAAATTTGAAAATCTGAAGTTGTGATTTATTTTTAATTAGCCTTTCTCACGCCGCCATTTTTGGGTGGAATTTCAGCCGAAGTCTGCGAGATAAGTCCACATAACAGCGACTTTTTATAATTTTCTGGACGAATGATGGTAAATTTGCTTTGTAAATGGTTAGTTTATTTTGAAAAATTGCTTTTCACATTGTTTTAATTGTCTGTATATTGGTCAACGAAAATTAGATGCCCCCCAAAAATGGCGGATATTCGTCATCGTGAGAAAGGCTAATTAAACTTTGAAAAATAATTTTAATGGTGTAATTTTTATAGAAACCAGGGACAGAGTTTTTTTTCCTTTTTCCTATTTTTCAAAATAGTTTCGACTCTTAAATATATATATACTTCTTATGCAATCTAAGAAATCCAAAATAGTGCAAAATGGTATAGTGATCTATAATGATGAACGGTCTGCAGGGCCTTTTTTAAGAATTTTCCCGTGGGGGGGCATTTTTTGAAAAGGGACTTTTCTGTGAGATAATATATTAGAGGGGGATAACAATGGCTGAAGGCTACGTGTGTGGCCAATATACCACGCATGAATGGGGGTGGTCTGGGGGAGTACTCCCCCAGAAAAGTTTTGAAATTTGAATCCCGGAAATGTCATTTCCTGCATTCTGAGCATCCAAATATGCTCCAAAATTTATGCTAACTATACTTGTATTTGAAATAAATAAAGGAAAAACGCACAAAAAGTTAAAAAAAATTAACCGTCATTTATCGTTACTGATTAGAGGAGGATGGCAATGGTCAGGTGTGTGGGGGTGTACTCCCCCAGAAAAGTTTTGAAATTTGAAGCACGAAAATACCATTTCCTGCATTCTGAGGATCCAAATTTGCTCTAAAATTTACGCTAACTATACTTATATTTGAAATAAAAGATGGAAAAAATGCACAAAAAGTGAAAAAGAATATTAACTGTAATTTATCATTACTTATTAGAGGGATAATCCCCAGAAAATTTTTGAAATTTGAAACCCGGAAATGCTATTTCCTGCATTCTGAGCATCCAAAAATAATTGATTTAATTTATAATATAATAATTTAATTTATAATGATTTAATTTATAATTAATAATATAAATAAATTATTATACGGTAATGAAGTCGCAAGTCATTTTGTACAGTCCTTTTTACAATGTGCTGGGGGAGCCGCCTGTGGCAATTATGTATTAATGTACTATAGATCACAAGCTCGCAGTCCAAAAACGAAATGAGATATCTGGTATCAATGGTTTGATCGGCAACTTGAATTGTTGGTAGCAATATAACCTGCATGAAAGTCCAAGTCAAGTCATTTTGTTCGCCAATCCAAGTCATGTCACAAACATATTTTATTCACAAAAAATTTTGTTCGAGTCCAAGTCAGATCACAAGTCGTTAACCTGAATAACTATTAATTCATGTCACAAAACTACTGGAGTCCAAGTCGTATAATTGGACTGAGTTGATGTTAGATAGATTTAGAAAGACGACTAGGCAAACACGAGACGACGAGAGTCTCAATTTCAGTTGAAGATTGAGAGCTAAGGAACTTGATTATTGTAATTTATTGAAGCTTTTTAAAATAACCTTACAAACGGCTAAGTTCGGGAAAAATAATCCGGTGTCTTCTATGAGACGGCAGATATTTATGTGAGTCCTCCAACGAGTGGCAACAAGCATTTGCATTCCAATGACGTGAAAATCTTATAGTTTAAGCCTGATTTCCATATGGTCGTAACGATTGAGTCATGATCTTTCTCAACGCCGAAATACAACATCTTAGAACTAAAAATACGTGGAGTGATTATAACTAGAGAATACTTATGAGTTATATGTGGTTTACAGATACAAACTATTATAAACTGGCCGTTGAGAAAGAGTTGTGACTCTATTTTTACGACCATTACGACCGTATGGGAACCAGGCTTTAACGTTCTATTCAGAATGACAACGTTGTTGAGGATATCCCTGGGACCATGCCAAATTATTCAAACTCTTTTTGTTTTGCATGAAGAATTTCTTTGTTTCGTGCTTTCTAAATGAATCTGTTATCTGAAAGTAGTTGCAGGAAAATTGTGAGCATTGTCTACAGTTTATTCTGCTAGCATTTTCATCCCATTTTCGTTTCATAATTTCATCTTCATCTTGGGCTAGTATTCCAAAGGTCGTAGGTTCGATTCCCACCGTGGCCAGGTATATTTTTCAAGCCTGCCCGGTGTGGATATACACTAAGAGTAACATCACACAAGCATCTTATTCACCTGAATATACATTACACCAACACAGCAAATTTCATCTTCATCCTTCAAGATGTTATGTATCGAACAGAGTATAGAGTAGAGTACAGGCCGTGCATGTTCACAATTTCTCTGTGACTATTCTTCTTATGATTGTAAATTTGAAGAAATTGAATCAACTCCAAAAGTGTTATTCTGTCATCAAAAATGTGAGAGATTAATTCTTTTGCAGTTGATTTATCTCGTTGAAATTTACAGTGTATAGATTACATAGGGAGCTCTGCATGTATTAGAAATTGCGTTGCATGTTTCAGAAAAAAATGCCTAGCTGCATGGTGTAATATGGCCTTATTATATTTATAGCAGCAATGCAGATTCAACCTCTATTTGGCATATGTCCATTTTAATTATATTAGAGATAAATATATATGTAAAACAGTACATATACCGCGTAACAATTGACTGGTAGCTATATGTGTAATTTTTACAAAGTACTAATACGTTTATCATGAAAAATAAAGGAAATTCATTAATTTTAAACATTGATTATAGGCCATTCGTCCTAAAGTTATTACTATCCAACTGTTTTCATTCACTGTTGTGAAAACTATTGGGTATGCATATTCTACGGTCTCTCTTTTTACTATAGATTGATAAGGTGTGCTTAACTTGCGCGATCAAAAACAAGTAATTAAGAAATACATTTTTAAAGGATCAAATATGTCAAGCTAATTTCCTGTTGCCATGGTGCTTTGGAATTATGGCATTGTCAATGGTAGATCGTTTATGTTTAGCATACGCTTAAGGCATGGAATCTCCCTTTTTCAATACAACATCGAGGTACTTTTAATGCACCTAAAATTATGTGGGGGGAAAGGGCGACAATATACCAATGCATGATATTGGTAAATATTCCCAATGTTTGTTCTCCATTGCTTTGCGAGTTGATAACATGTTGTTACAAGATAGAAGTAACTTGTTACAATGTTGTTGACATCTTGGTGAAAATTACAGTGCAATTAGATCTGACATGCTTAGATATGAACATAAAATATTTTTAATAGCCATCGGTGCTTTTGCATATTGTAATTATGAGTATTGCTTCTTTCCGATATTAATTGGCAAGGCTTTTGAATTTCTTAAGTGTTTACAGTAAAGTAAATTCCGCTTAAAAGCGCAATATATTTAATTACATATTAAGCGCGTGCTGAATTTGGCTATAAAAACCATGGCTAGGGATAGCAAACATCAGAATCGACTTGATACTCGAGCTAACAAGAGATAAAGAATGGAGAAAACAATACTTTTGCTTGCGTTCCTGCTGATAGTTTCAGTAACACTGATCTTGGGTGAAGATGACGAAACTTTGGTAAACGAGGTGTTGGAAAAGTGAGTGGCACACAGTTTACGAGTCTCTTTAATCTAAAGACATGAAAACAAGAAAAATGAAATAGAAAATCAGTAGAATTCTGATTAAGTTTATGTTTAATTTGATTAGAGTGAAAAGGCGACAGTTTTTCAATAAAACAGTAGCAATAAACCCCATTAAGATTAAGTCAATGTTCATTCACACTTGGTAAAAACCTGTTTTATATATTTTCTTGACTGTCCTTGAAAAAACTGTCTTAATGATTTACATTATATTATTATGTAAAAGATATTAAAACGAGGCAATAACTATGCAGGCAGAGCCCAATCCGACTCTTCCAGGTCGCTGCCTGTGGCCCTTGGAAAGCCTTTGACTCGACTCATGTTCAGCTGCGTCCTTCGCAATTCAACTTAGCTGTCTGCTGCAAGTAAGGTTGATTATAAAACCCGTTTTCCACTCATGTATTTCGCCGCCGCTGGCGAAAAATTTTGACATGAAATCATTTTTTTACATTCATTCCCCGCTGAAGAAATTTGTTCTCCTGCTACAGTTGCTTAAAATTTTCAACTTCTGTTTGACTTTCGTTGACGGCGCGAAAGAACAACAAATGAACTTTTTCGGTGGCGAAATTTTTCGCCAGCGGCGGCGAAATACGTGAGTGGAAAACGGGCTTAACACATCCCCACTTACTTTCAACATATTCTCGTATTTACTAGAATGCTGTTTTTTAGTATTTTTTATAATAATGTTGTTAGCATATTTCTTAAATGTTCTAATTTACTCCAAATGCTACTTTGCCTTTGGTAATAACTGATTGTTTTCGCTTGGTTAACCAATACCTTGCTGTAAATGTAAAAACAAGTTCAGATACCTGTCCGTATAGCCACTGTTAATAAAATAATAGTTACTAATTTCGTTCGATTTTTTCAGGTATTTCGATCCTGTAACCCGACCGATTTTCCCTAATTAGCTATTCAGGGCCGCACAAAGAAATTTGGGGGTCCGGGACAAATGTAAGACTTGGGGCCCGAGTGATCATCAAAGATTCTTGAAGTTATGTGCTCATTTAGAGATTGTATGATTCCTTTATTCTTTAACTTTTAGGACAATTAACAACATTTTTTCCTTCGGTGTTTATATAACATTTGCAATGCGTATTCTGTACTTAAATAGTTCAGGGGGGTTGGGGGAAAATTTTGAAATTTAGAGTCCCTAGAAAAGCAATATTTGCATTCTGAGTGAATATTTAACTGTGGTTTCTATGCATATTTTACTTTATCCTTATTTGGTGGCCCCCTCAGCTGGGGCCTCGGGGAAAATTGCTCCTCTCCCCCTGGGCGGTTCTGCTGCTATTCATAATTTTTTTTACAATTTTTGGTGCAGTTTTCGATATTTATTTAATTTATCATAGTTTATGTTTGTAATGTGAACGCCAGTTGTATAGATTTTTACGTACGATTTATACCAAGGCAACGTATTTACATTTTGTCAAAATAGCACTGAACCCGGAAGGTTATCATTTTCTTTCTAGGACAGCTGCAAACGAAGTATTTGCTGATCCAATGGCAATGCCAAAACGTCGTCGGTCTAGCAGGAGGCGTCGAAAGCACCGTGGACGCAGCCGCAGCCGTGGCCGCAGCCGTAGTCGTAGCGGTAGTCGTAGCCGTAGCCGTAGTGGCAGCAGAGGACGTAGCGGCAGCAGAGGTCGTAGCCGAAGCGGAGGCCGTGGTGGTCATGGTGGTCATGGTGGTCGTGGTGGTTACTGGTAAAGGTAAGTAGAATATTTGATTCAGGCGAACTCTGCAATTGTTATGTTACCCCCCTTATATTCACTGCGAGATCATGCAGTTAGACGATTTAAAACGAGGCGAGTTGAGGCCGTTTGAGAAAAGCGATTTAAGGGACTGGTCATGAAAATCTACTTGGTGCATCGTGGTGACTTCCCCTAGGAAACTGATTTAAATTCATTGGTTTAATCGACTGATCTTTCAAATCAATTTTAAATATTTTTGTATAATTAGTACATATTTTTGCAATATTTTTAGGATTTTTACAATGTTTTTTTTATTCACGGAAGCAACGAAATCAACCAATTACAAGTCGAATAACATTAATTTTTTTGGATATTATAGATACAGTAGATAGAACCGAAAGGAAAAACAAACCGAAAATCCATCTCATTTACTGAATTCCATCCTTTTCTGGGAAAAAGTCGAAAATTTACTATCGTAATTGCATGGTTGTTCCAAATTTTGGGCCCGTAAATAGGATTTTAGATAGTACCGATCGTCTCTCGAGTGTCGAACAGGAACCTCCATATTGGGGTCTACGGGTATGCTCCTTCAGAAAATGTGTGATTTTCTAAAGTTTGGAAACGCTATTTCCTGCATTCTGAGAGCGGTTTTAACAAAAAGTCAATGTTATAAATAGTGACGGCAAAATGACTACAATCTAACAATTGTACTTCAATCCTACGAATTACAAATATTCAGGATTATTTCAGTGTTCATAATAAAATGATCAGGTGCATAATAAAAAGTGTTTGTGAATAATATTTAGGACGCTAATCCGCACGTTTGTAATTGGGGTACTTCTGCACCTACAGCGGCCTCCCACTTCTTACGCCATTGCAGGCTAGGAATGCTCCCGATCTTCGCTTAGAGAAAATTACAGTCTTTCTTTGAACTTCACGTCTTCCTGTTTTAATTTTTTTCACGAAAATTCTTTCAACTGACTCGGTTGACTCATAGCCAGTTTCGTGATCATGCATCTTAATTTTGTTCTTTCTTAAATCCAGGACTCGATGATTTTGGTTGCAAACGGACAAAGATGCTGAACAATCCACGAGAAACGAAAGTAGTAAAAAACCTAGATTACTATAATGTAACAAAATAGATATAACAGAATTAGTACAAAACTGTGATGTTAGGATTTCTCTACCACAAACATGAATAAAATTTTTAAAAACGTATTATCAAGAAAACATTCTTTTACTTACATGAAAACCAAGCAAACAGATTATGAAGTAAAAACATGCACTGATTTAATGGTATGAAACTACAATGATTAACAATCTACAATTATTACAACGTTTTAGGGTCTTTTAACTATATAATTGGGGGCAAAGCTCCCCCCCCCCCCCTCCCACTGCCCCACCGCAGCCCCCATGGTGATCCCACACTCAACCATTTTGGCTCCAAGTCCCTTCTCCCTAAAATATAAGCACATCATTGGAAGAAAAATAGAATTTAGAAGGGAGGTTGGATATTCTAGTAGCTGAAATTTGCTTTGTGAATCTTATGTCCTGTCTTTCATCTTCAACTGATTCAATGTCTACTTAAACATTGTGTTGTAAAATACAATAGATTTTAAGCATTTCCAAGTGGATAGCATATCCCAGACATCATAGATTTGAGTTGTTGGAAGTTAGTGCCGGGTTGTGGTATTTACATAAATATACCATGCATGCAAGTGCTTAACTGAACATTCAGTCTATCTACAGTATAATGTATAAACACTATATCCAAAAATCTATTTCAGATAACGCTCAAAATGCAGTCCTAGGGGTGGAAAAATACTATTACATACGACACCACACCACACCACACCAAACTTTTTGTCACCAACAACCACATGTCATCTCTCCACTTACATGGTCCCTTTTTGTAAATCCCCCCAGGGACGATTTCTTAAAAAGGCCCTGCAACATTTGCCTGTTTTTCTTACTTGTTTTGCAACAGTTTCCATCCCTGCCTTCAAAGGTTTTCACCACACATTTTGACGTGGAGTCAAATAACCTATATGATTTATATTATTTATTAACCAGATTTATTTGGTTTGTAGTGTAGACCAAGCCACAAAGATCCGTTCTGACAATTATACTGCATGCATGGAGCCCGAGTATTGCATATTCAATGAGATCTAAATATGTCTGGACGACGAAACTGCGTCCAAAACGTGAAGCCTAAAATCCTGAAAATTGATGTCCTGGCTGCAAGGCATTTTTTAATACCATGGACTGGTGGGGCATTTGCCCCACTGGGCCCTTTCCTCTGCCCACCACTGAAGAAAAGAATGGCCTATTGCCCCAAAGCCGGGGCCCTAGGACCTGTATTGAGTAAATGAGTTTAACATTGAAAAGAAGTTTAGAAAATAACATTTGTTGGTGAGCATACTTAAACTTATGTTGTGTTTGAATGTTTATAGCATACAATTTATTACAAATTTCACCATTAAAATTTTGTTTTGAGAAGCTGAGATCTTTTTTAAAATGTGTTCTCAGAATGCAGGAAATGCTATTTCAGAGACTCCAATTTTAACAATTTCCTGGGACATCCAGACATCCTAGCTGACTCGTACCTTCGGTACTCGGCTCACACCTTCGGCGATCGAATACTACCCAGAGGGGAGGGCAAGGAGAGAATGGGCCCGTTGGCAGTTTAATTAGCCACACCACTGAAGAATCCTTAAAAAATGCACTGCCTGACTGGACGTTAAGACTGAAAAAGGCTGCAAGGAGTGTACCAAAATTTCAGCTTGAAAATTTCAAAAAAATTTCAAAATTTCAAAAAAAAATTCAAAATTTCAAAATTTCATTTTGGCTCATTCTCTTAAACGGAAATGCTCTTAAAACTGTTTTGTAACTTGTTTTGAAAATTTTTGTTCCCGTGCTTACTTCTTGAGAGAAATTTCATTTTGTTTGTAATCATGTGACGTCAATGACTCAATTACATATATAATGAGACATCAGTAATTGTTGTGTATCTTTGCTGTTTTTGATGAATCTGTTTAAAAAAAGAGTATGCTTAATGATGTAGGCTAAATTAAGAAAGACGCCGCATCTTTGAAAAGATTTGATAAAAAATAGCAAAGATACACAACAATTACTGATATCTCATTATATATGTAATTGAGTCATTGACGTCACATGGTTACAAACAAGATAAAATATCTCAAGAACTAAGCATGGGAACAAAAATCTTCAAAACAAGTTACTATGCAGTTTTAAGGGCATTTTCGTTTCAGAAAATAAAAATTTTGACGTAAGTGCCACTTTGAAGAAAAGTATTAGAATTAACAAGTTGAACTGATAAGTTGATTAGCGTCGTGATACGATCCGCTACAAGAAACTGGAATTAGCTGGGAAAATGCATGGTTTGAAAACTGATTCACTTTTTCCATAGGCCAAACGAATGAACTTCTTACTCCAAATATACTGAAAGCTCACTGGAGTTATTATATCAATACAAATATCCCAACATGAGCTCCACCTGTGAATTTACTATATGGGTAAATTCTTAAACACGTCCGAATTTATCATTATGATAAATTCGCGGCACATTTTGAATTTATCAATAGAGTTAATCATAAAAACACAAGCATTAGACAAGACTTTTTGTTATAAATGTAATTAATGGCACTAAAAGGGAGGCCGGTCGCGCGGGGGTGGGGTTTAAAAGAGTTTTAAAAAAGTTTTAAAAGAATTTTAAAAAGCAAAAAAGTTTAAAAAGTTAGATTTTCAAAAAAGTTTAAAAATTTAAAAAAGTTTAAAAAGTTCGGGTTAGGGGTTAGTGGTTAGTGGTTAGTGTTAGGGTTGGGGTTAGGGTTAGTGTTAGGTGCCACGAATTTATTATTATGATAAATTCAAAATGTGCCGTGAATTTATCATAATAATAAATTCGGACGTGTTTAAAGAATTTACTCATATTGTAAATTCAAAGGTGGAGCTCATGATGAAATATACATACATAAACTTGATTGCTATTAGTTGATTATTGATTCGGTATAGACATTCCAAAACATTCAAGTTCACACGAACCCGTTCCGATAACTCCGGTGTCACAGGACTTTGCCCCCCGCCCAGGAGATCCACCCCCCTCTCAAAATGGGAGCGATATTCCTAGGAATATCGCCCCCGGGGGCGAATATCCTGGGAATATCGCCCCAAGGGGGGCGAATACCCTAGGAATGTCGCCCCCCTTTAGGATATTCGCCCCCCATATATGCGATGTGGTTTATTCAAATAATTTTGTGATAATTTAATCTTATCAGTGCCTTGCACGTTTGAGAATTTATCTCTGCAAAACTCAAGCTTTTCTGTCTTTTGAAACGTACCATTGGTGTATTGGCAAGTTTTTCCATGCATTCAAAGATTTACAAACTGATATTGAAACTGTAAAAAACAGTTTCATGTATACGCGCATTCACTAATGAATAATGACAATAACGTGGATGCTAAACAATTTTAACAAGTAGAGTCCCTCGCCAGTGCATTAAAATCCTATCCAGCGTCAGCTATCATCACTGCAGGCGATTTTAACCAATTTAGGCACAGTCAACTATGTAACTCGTTTTCTCTTAAACAGGTTGTTAAGCATGCAACAAGAGGATCCAACATCTTAGACAAAATATTTACAAATGCGTCCAAATTTTATAACGTTCCAGAGATTCTCCCACCTGTCGGTTTCTCTGACCATAACTCAGTGTTGATAAAACCGCTGAAGCAATGTATGAACTCCCGGAGTACCCGAATGGTCAGAGAGACGCGTTCCCCTAATCGGAAGTTAGTCTTCGAGGCTTTGTCAAGTATCATTACTTTTCATTCATTGTTAATGGCATTGTCGACCAGTACCTTCCAATAAAACGCATAAAATCGGATAGTAGCGATAAGCCCTGGGTAACATCTGAGATCAAAAGATTAATCTCCAAACGTCAAGCAGCTTGGAATAGCGGAAACAATATCATGTTCCATCTCTACAGAAACAAAGCAAATATGCTTTGTAAGAGAGCTCGTTCAAGATTTTACAACAGCAATGTTGCCGACTGTTTTGAATCAAAGCCGCATATGTGGTGGTCCAACATAAAAAACATAGCTGGCCTTGGTGCAACGAAAAACGTTTCCACTATCTTATACAATGATCAATCCTACTCAGGCTCCGCCCTAGCTAACTTGTTTAACGACAAGTTTGTTGCTGTAGGAAGCACCCTTCCTCCATTCTCATGGACACCCATTGCAGTTGATGACGTTCCTTTAGATTTCTATATCTCCATTGATGAAGTTGAGAAAGCACTAATATCTGTAAAATCTCATTCGGCGGCAAGTCCAGATGAGATTTCTCCTTGGCTCCTCCGTGAGAACTCTGCCTCCCTATCCCTCCCATTGGCATCCATTTTCAATGCTTCTATCCAAGAAGGAAACATCCCGTTGTTGTGGAAGTCCGCCAATGTGTCTCCTGTGCCAAAATCGTCACCTGCCCTGGGCATTGATTCCGATTTTAGACCGATCTCTCTTACGCCAATTGTAAGCAAGATCTTAGAGTCATTCCCTCATAGCTGGCTTTTACGGTCAGTTAGCGGTCAAATTGATAACCTCTAATTTGGTGCGCTTAAAAGATCAAGTTCCACAATGGCATTATTATATATGTTCCATAAATGGTACGAAGCTATGGACACACCCGGCACCTGTCTTCGAATCTGTACGTTGGACTTCTCAAAAGCATTTGACCGGATTGACTTCAACATCTTACTTCAAAAATTGATAAATATGGGCATACATCCTGTCCTTATTAATTGGATCGCCAACTTTCTCACAGACAGAAGACAGCGTACAAGAATCGGCCCGAATTATTCTTGTTGGAGGCCAATCAATGGTGGTGTCCCACAGGTCTCTGACGATTCTGTTAAATTCGTAGACGACACTACTTTATGGGAAATAATTACGAGCGCCCAATCGTCTGCTTCAGTCTTACCGACACAAATTAGTGAATGCTCCAGTTGGGTGGCCGAAAACAATATGAAATTGAATCCCACTAAAACCAAGGAAATTCGAGTATGTTTTTTCGACTTATGATACCGAAGCACTTCCTCCACTTACCATTGATGGCTGTAACATTTCTGTCGTGTCACATGCTAAATTACTCGGATTAATCATCTCCGAAGACCTCAAGTGGATTCTTCATGTTGATTTCATTTGTAAGAAAGCTGCGAAGCGTCTGCATGCCCTACGATTATTAAAGAGATCCTCTATTCCATCAAGCAAGTTAATGCGAGTGTTTAATACATGCATTAGACCAATTTTAGAATACTCGTGCGAAGTATGGCATCACAGTTTGCCCCAGTATTTAAGTGATCAGATCGAAAGGATCCAACGCATAGCTCTACGAATAATCTTCCCAGATTGTTGTTATGATATTGCAATGGACCGCGCCGGTGTGGTGTCGTTATTCATACGGAGAGAGACGATCTGTACGAGATTTTTTGAACGATTGCGTACTGACAAAGCACACAAGTTACATTCCCTTGTCCCTTCCAATCGGGATACAGAATATTCCCTTCGGAGTGGTAATAACAAACTATCGATACCTAGGTGTAGAACTAATAATATGCAAACAGTTTCATAATTGCTGGAAGTAAAGCTTTTAACATTAGTAAAACTTAATATAATTAACCATGTAATTATTACTATAATAATTCTTAATCTGATTGTATTTTGTATTTTAATTCTTTTAATCTTGTAAACCGATGTAATTCAGTCCTTGACTGCTAAATCGGCCTTTTTAATAAATCCGTATAACAAATCTATCTATAAAGGTGATTATAGAAAATTGTGGCCGCTGATTGGTCAAGCGACCTTGGCTTATTACGCGATAATCACCTATAAGCTTTTATTCAAAATGGCGGCGAGTGGTTTCGTCGAAGTGACAGATGAAGCCATATAAAGTTACTAATTTTAAAGAAAATACTGTACCTAAAAGCACGAATGAAGTGACAAAATTTAGCTTAAAAGTATTTTGAGATGGGAAACTACGTTGCAGAATTCTGCATAACTTTATTTCGCATAAAACACCGTTTTATTTAATTAACTTGCCGTACAATATAGTCAATATAGTTTAGACATTTGTTTGCGTTTGTAAAAAAAGTATTTTCTACAACAGGTTTGTTTCAACGACAGTCATGAGAATTCACAAATGAGTTTGAAGACATGAATATTGACGGAATAAACAAATATTTATCAAAATTCTACGTTTCTATAAGAAAAGTGATGGAAATTACTACAAAAAAGCATTCCTGATGGCGATATGAGCCGCCCTGGATATAGAAAGCTAAAGTCACCGCCATACGAAAAAGATTGAGACGTGTTATATTATTTTCTCAAATAATCACCTTTGTAATTATACTAAAACAATTATTCGCCTCCGGCTCGGTGAATATCGCTGAATAAAAACCTAGACTTCGTGGTCTCGGTTTTTATTCAGCGATATACACCTCGCTTTCGGCGAATAATTGTCAATTAATAATATCTTTTATTCTTTTGATTCTTTTATATTTTATAAATCCATTTTGAAAATATTTACATTACATTTACATACGACGAAATGTTTCTGGGCCTTGGTATGCAGACACGTTGTACATACTTATATACTTAATTTATATTTTGAAATTCGATCAATTTCCATCATGTTTCTCAATACAATAATAATACCGGTTTACAACATAACCATAGCCACAGGAAAATAACAACACGCTGTCGCTGAGACCAACTAAAAACTAAGTTACATGCATAGATGGTCTAGTAAACCAGGGGTCCAGAGTTCAAATCTCTGATGAGGCCACAATTCTACTTTTCAAAGCGAACTGGATAAAGGATTTCGTAATTTAAGTTTTCCAACGTTTTGTACTACGTCAGCCTCAGTGCAGTATATATTTTAAAATTTAGTTCACTAATAAAAACAAAGAAATTGATAGAGCTTCATGCGAGATTCAAACTCATGACCTTCAGTTTACGAAACTACTGCTCTACCCCAAAGCCAATGAGGCACAACTTTTCCAACCGTACTTTGATGGTTAAAGATTTATTAACGCACGATTGATTGCAGTTTCAACTGTTTCAAAGCACGTTCAAGAAATTTTATATGCTGTATAAGTCACTTATTTCTACACTTTCCCTGCTTATAATTTGCAAGAATTCCACGTTTTCATAACCTGTGGAAAAGTCGTACACGGAGCCGATATGCCTCTTTAGCTCAGGGGTTAGAGCACTGGTCTAGTAAACCAGGGGTCCAGAGTTCAAATCTCTGATGAGGCTATAATTCTACTTTTTAAATGGAACTATAGATAAAGGATTTCGTAATTTAAGTTTTCCAATGTTTTGCTCTTCTTCAGCCTCAATGAAGTGCAGCTAATTCCAAAATATTTTTCAAATTTCAATACAATAAATCTACAGTGTGTTGTGGAAATTTTAAAATTAGAGCTGTTTTATTCAAAACATAAATAAATGTTCTGCGCTGCAAAGGCTTAAATGAAATGGGAACCATATATTGCACCCAAATTATAACAGAAGATCTATGGAGTAATGTACTGGGAAAGGCAATTACTATAGAGATATGAGCTAATGAACCTCAAAGCCGATTCGTGCTTTCCAACGGTTATATTTCATGTTTGCTTATAGTGGTTTTCCCTTGTTTCACAATAACTCTCTTCGTAGTTCAAGATAATTTTACTAACAGGAAACTAACGCTATGAAAGACTACGGTGAACAGTTGCCTCATTAGCTCAGTGGTTAGAGCACTGGTCTTGTAAACCAGGGGTCCGGAGTTCAATTCTCTGATGGGGCTCGTAACAGTGCGTAGTTTTTGACAATAAAATCAAATTGATTTTCCGTGAAAAGATTGTCGTTGTAAAATTTGAAGCTGCTTGTTTTTAAAAAATGGCAATGAGAATTCTGGAATTTGGTTGTCTTGCAACGGATTGTAAGATTTCGGTTCAACTAATTTGGAACCAAGAAATCACTTCCGCCCTCCACTGTCAACCCACCTTTAAGTAATGAGGCGTTGAACTAAAAACAAAGTTACATGCATAGAAAATTGCAAGTTTTCATAAAATGTCCTAGTAAACCACGGGTCCAGAGTTCAAATCTCTGATGAGGCCACAATTCTACTTTTCAAAGCGAATTGAATAAAGGATTTCGTAATTTAATTTTTCCAACGTTTTGTACTACGTCAGCCTCAGTGCAGTGTATACTTTAAAATTTAGTTCACTAATAAAAACAAAGAAATTGAGAGAGCTTCATGTGAGATTCAAACTCATGACCTTCAGTTTTCGAAACTACTGCTGTACCCCAAAGCTAATGAGGCACAACTTTTGCAACCGTACTTTGATGGTTAAAGATTTATTAACGCAGGATTGATTGCAGTCTCAACTGTTTCAAGGCACGTGCAAGAAATTTAATATGGTGTAAGTCAATTATTTCTACACTTTCCCTGCTTATAATAACCTGTGTCTTGAATTGACAGTACTTTGAACATTATAGATATCTTGCACGCATTCTAATATAAGCAGTTCATTATTAATATCTTATATCGAACACGGTTAGTTAATTGAACTAGGATAGAATTACACTTGCACTAGGATAACTGGGACATTCAGAATAATTATTGATAATCATCTTTTGTTGTATATAGTTTTCGCACTGGCTTTTACCTTGTGTTAGTGTGAATAATACATATTCAAACTATGGTGTAGATCGTCCTTGATTCTATCGAAAGAACCTACGCTACATTAGATCTCGTTATCGTCGTAGACAAGTTAACACAACGCAAGACAACACTATAGCTTATTTCGAGTGACGAACGAGACATTGGTGCCGTGACCACGATGGACAGTCTAAAACGCGCAAAGATAAGGTCATAAAACGTGGCGCTCAACGCGCACAAGCAACTAAAATTTGGAACGAAGCTGAACTACTCATAAACGGTGAAACGAACGAAGTTAATATTGAGAAACGAAAATCGAATTACTTTGATTCAGATCTAATCGAAGACGAAAAGGGCTTAGAGACGGAGATCGTTGAAGCCGACGACTATTTAACGGACTAACTAAAAAGAGGTACACCATAGAATTCTTTATCAATCAAAGTACAATCCATAGTAATTCGTTAGCTAGCCCTATGGCTACCACAACACCACAAAACGGACACGTTTTTCCTACTCAAAGTACGCCGCCACAATCGCATCATTAGCAGAAATATGGGACAAGATGGAGACGGACATGCGCACATTGCCCCAATATGGCGACTAAATATTACTATAAATTATACAGGGATTTACAAAAATGTCAAATTTTAACCTACTTTGTTTAGATATCTCATGGTTGCGGACTTCGATAATAACAACAGCGCGAACAAGCAGTATTTGTAAACCAAAATCGCTAGCATTTCTACACGTCTAAGTGGTTCCCGTGATTGGTGCATTTTCACTAGAAATTCGAAGTATTTAATAGTGTAATCTATAGTAATCTTGCCATACATGAGGTAAAACTCCGCCGAATAGACCAACATTCTTTCGCGCGATGTAAACTGCGGACTTCGCGATGTATTTAGCGATGTTCAAACTGTCAGTATAGCTTAACATATCCCAGGTTATTCTGCGCCAAACCGGTTCCAAAATCGTTTAAAACTTTGCCTTTTTATGAGTCTTTCTTATCGCCATTAGGTTATATTTATAGTCGAAAACGACAAGTCTAAATACAAATTTAGGCTCCTTCGAGCAGCCATGTTTCTTGTTTACTAGCAAAGCTTGTACCCAGTCCCTCACTTAAGAAAAACAGAGAGATTTGCGAGATTTTGTAGCTCGATTTCGTGTTAATATAGCAATTTGCGTGCGGATATTTCGCGGGTTATTTAAAATCTCTTTCGCAGCTAAGTCAAAATGTCGGAAGTGCTCGAAAAATACAGCAAAAGAAAGTTAGATTGGAAATTGAAAGTAAGTTCTGAAGCTCCTCTTACTTATGTTAGGCAACAAGTGGACTTATTTAACAAGATTCTCCTTTGTGTGGAGATTCCATGGCCACTGCTTAATGTATGGAAAAATATTCGCGAAACAACTTCCTGTGAAAATGTAAATTATGTTGACTTATTTAATTTAACTGTGCCAGACAAATGGTTTGCTTTAAAACCCGGTAACCAACGTATCGAAGAACTACTTCGTAAGGAATGGCACACGTCCTTTGCCTTTGGCAGTTCGAGTCGCCATTTTGATTTTTCAAGCGATTAGCCGCTGCCTACAAACGCGGACGCAAAATGTCCCATATTTCTGGCCGTAATACAAATAGTCATAGATTTCTAAAGTTAGCACTGCCAGTATTTAGCGGCAACGTGTTAAAATGGCAAACCTTTTGGGACTCTTATAAGGTCGCTATACATGAAAGCTCCAGCCTAAGCGACATAAAAATATTACATATCTCAAAGCTCAAGTGTGAGGTGAAGCCGCGCAATCAATCGAAGGTTTACCGCTTACAGGGTCAAACTACGCGCAATGTATTGCAATTTTGGAACAGAGATTTGGTCAACCCCACAAGATAACTAACGCACACATGCAAGCCTTGTTAGATCTACCATGCCCTTCAAATGCAGTGTCTACCCTGCGCCAATTTTACGATAGCATGGAAAATCATGTTCGAGGTCTCGAGACGTTAGGAAAGAAACAAAACACCTACGGTCATAGGCGTACCGGGCGGGGCGGTAGCCCCCCCCCCCAGTTTTTTGGGCAGTCGGGCAATATTCGATCAACAGTCGGGCAATTTTGGCTTGTAATAAAAATAAATTGGACAAATTCTGGCAATGTAGTCGAAAATTCAGTCAATTTTGTGGTCAATTTTGTGTTGTTTGGAAAATTTGTGTGACGTTCCGAAAAATTTTGGTATGTCAGGAAAAATTTTTTGACCCCTACAATCAAACACAACATAATTCGAGAGAACGGTTCAACTAAATGGTCAGTAGAACAATTACGCAAATCAATTTTGAAGGAAATTCAAATACAAGAAGCTGGGGAAGAAACAGACTCTTTCAGTCAAATTAGTCAATTAGGCAAACCTGTCAACACCCCACCATCAACATCGAGTTTACTGACAAACGCATCCGGAATGTTTGGAAACCATACCAACGCAAAAGAATTTTACGCACCTAAAAATCGTCCTGCAAACAAGAGTTTATGCATTTTCTGTTCGGGCCATCATCGCCCTAACGAGTGTACTGTAGTAAAGGATCCCACAGCCCGTAAGAATATTGTTTTCCAAGCGAAGTTATGTTTTAACTGTTTGAACAATCACCGCGTATCTGATTGTAACTCGAGAAATCGCTGTCGAGGGTGTCACAAGAAACACCACACGAGTCTTTGTAATGAAACGAACCGCAAAGATGCGACAAAAATTACCGGGAAAAATCATCCGCCGTATAACGACACACCAAATATTACGACGCAAGTTCAAAACGCGAAACCCGTCGACAAAACCCCAGACCGTGTCCACACGTCTCTATCAGTTAACGACTACTATGGGAGACAAACACTCCTCAAAACTGCCATTAATACGATAGCAACACAGAACAAAATAGCGACAGCACACATTCTCTTTGATGAAGGGGCTCAACGTTCGTTTATCACTCAAAGTTTAGCTGACGAACTCGAACTTACGCCTGAAGGAAGTGAAACCTTAAATCTATCAGTCTTTGGCGGGTCTTCGACTTCTATCAAACAAGTAGACATGGCTACGATTAATCTCAACACCGAAGATGGCGAAAAAATTCCTTTACAGGTATTGATAATTCCCACAATTGCAGTTCCGCAGAAAAGTTTCCCCACCGCCGAAATTCGAAACCTCCCACGCCTCAACGGCTTGAAACTTGCACACCCTATGACGACTGATGATCATTTCCACATATCCCTCTTGATTGGCGCGGACCACTACTGGGACGTTGTCGAAGACGAAATCGTTAGGGGACCGGGCCCCACTGCAGCGAAATCTAGAATCGGTTACTTGCTTTCTGGACCAACAACTGGGCCAGCTGTTGCGACAACATCGCTCAATGCAACCATCTTGAAAGTCATTGTTTCAAACGAACACGAAAATAAAGCTTTAGAACGATTTGGGAATCTAGAATCTATTGGGATTCTTCCAGACGAAATAACAACCCACGAAGACAAGTTTGTTAAGGAATATCAGGATTCTTCAATACGACTCGTGAATGACCGATACTGTGCAAAGTTACCATGGAAACCTAACCATGACCCCTTTCCCACCAACGAAGCAGTAGCGCGTGGAAGAACCCGTTCCACTGTAAGGAGATTAGCCAAAGACCCCAAGACGTTGCAAATCTACAGTGAACTTATTAACGAACAGTTAAAACGAGGTTTTATTGAAAGAATTACAAATCCAGAAACATCAAACGGTTATTGCCACTACATCCCACATCACGCTGTATTAAAAGATTCCCCTACGACACCTATTCGTATTGTGTACGACTGCAGTTGCAGCCCAAATGCCGACCAAACAAGCCTGAACTCGTGCCTTTCCACTGGCCCTGACATCCTTAATGATATGACCGCCATCCTCGTCCGTTTTCGATGCTATCGGTATGCTTTAACCGCAGACATAGAGAAAGCCTTCCTGAACATCTCTCTAGATGAATGAGATAGAGATGCAACAAGATTTTTTTGGCTATCCGACCCAACCAACTCCGAAAGCAGCTTTGACGTATATCGGTTCAAATCTATCTTGTTTGGTGCATCGTGTTCTTCGTTTATCTTGAATGCAACGATCAAGAAGCACCTTGACAGCCACAACGATCCAATCGCACAACGAATGAATGCTGACATCTACGTCGACAACTTGGCTTCTGGCACAGATAACGAAGACGAAGCCGCGATCTACTTCAAACACACCAGATCCGTAATGTCTTCCGCCAACTTCAATTTACGTGAATGGAACTCGAACAGTTCAAAAATTCGTGCACTCGCCAATGAAGAAAATTCTCAAGACGACAACACCGAAGCAAAACTGCTTGGTCTTCGCTGGAACAGTAAAGTCGATACGCTGAAGCCTCAAGAAAAACGTCCAGTTACTGACCCCAATGAAAAGGTGGTGTCATAACTAAGCGAGATGTTTTACGAGCGTCTTCTAAAATATATAATCCCCTCGGACTCATCACTCCTATCACTATTCGTGCCAAGATCGATCTTCCTTCAAGAGCTCTGGGAACTGAAATACGCTTGGGATGAACCGCTACCAAAACCACTGATTGAAAAATGGGTCAAACTTTCCAGAGACCTGGAAGCTGCAACTCAGACCGAAGTTCAACGCAGATACTTTCCGCTGTTATCTTCATGGCCATCAAACGTGATACTTCACATCTTTGTCGATGCAAGGACCAAAGCTTTTGGGACAGTCGCTTATGTCACTTCCAATTCACATACCTCCATGGTTATGTCAAAGTCTCGTGTAACTCCACTGAAAAAACTGACCCTTCCGCAACTTGAATTGATGGCAGCTGTTACTGGTGCAAGACTTGCTTCATATTTGTCCAATCATCTGACGGTTACCAAAATCGTGTTCTGGTCCGACAGTCAAATCGTTATCTACTGGCTTTCCTCCCAAAAAGACCTGAAGTGCTTTATTCAGAACCGAGTTAAAGAAATTCACCAAGCCACCAACAATGCGACCTGGAACTACTGTCCAACTTCTGACAATCCAGCAGATCTCCTAACAAGAGGAATCTCGACAGACGACCTTTCCAAGTCTAATTTGTGGACGCATGGCCCACCTTGGCTAACCAACCACGACCACTGGCCACAATGGAAACCTAACAACGTTCTTCTGCAGTCCTGCCTCGACGAAGATCAAGAAACGAGCAAAGTCACTGCCGAAGTCACCGACACATCTACAAACGCCAGCATAACCCAGATTATTCCACCTACCAAATTCAGTGAACTTCAACGACTACTGCGAACTACAGCATGGGTACTTCGCTTCGTTAATACCCTGCAAAAAGGCAACGTATGTAAGGGAAAACCACTAAAGGTCCACGAAGTTGAAAACGCACTGGTCTTGTAAACCAGGGGTCCGGAGTTCAATTCTCTGATGGGGCTCGTAACAGGGCGTCGTTTATGAGAATAAAATCAAATTGATTTTCCGTGAAAAGATTGTCGTTGTAAAATTTGAAGCTGGATGTTTTTAATATCCGGCAATGAGAATTCTAGAATTTGCTTGTCTTGCAACGGATTGTAAAATTTTGATTTAACTAATTTGGATCCAAGCAATCATTTCCGCCCTCCACTGTGAACCCACCTTTAAGTAGTGAGGCGTTGAACTAAAAACGATGTTACATGCATAGAAAATTGCAAGTTTTCATAAAATGGTCTAGTAAAACAAGGGTCAACAGTTCAAATCTCTGATGAGGCCACACTTCTACTTTTCAAAGCGAACTGGATAAAGGATTTGGAATTTAAGTTTTCCAAAGTTTTGTACTACTTCAGCCTCAGTGCAGTATATATTTTAAAATTTAGTTCACTAATAAAAACAAAGAAATTGATAGAGCTTCATGCGAGATTCAAACTCATGACCTTCAGTTTACGAAACTACTGCTCTACCCCAAAGCTAATCAGGCACAACTTTTGCAACCGTACTTTGATCGTTAAAGATTTATTAACGCATGATTGATTGCAGTCTCAACTGTTCCAAAGAACGTGCAAGAAATTTAATATGCTGTAACTCAATTATTTCTACACTTTCCCTGCTTCAAATTTGCAAGAATTCCACGTTTTCATAACCTGTCGAAAAGTCGTACACGGAACGAATATGCCTCTTTAGCTCAGGGGTTAGAGCACTGGTCTAGTAAACCAGGGGTCCAGAGTTCAAATCTCTGATGAGGCTACAATTCTACTTGTTAAATGGAACTATAGATAAAGGATTTCGTAATTTAAGTTTTCCAACGTTTTGTACTATTTCAGCCTCAGTGCAGTATATATTTTAAAATTTAGTTCACTAAGAAAAACAAAGAAATTCATGGAGCTCCATGTGAGATTCAAACTCATGACCTTCAGTTTACGAAACTACTGCTCTACCCCAAAGCCAATGAGGCACAACTTTTCCAACCGTACTTTGATGGTTAAAGATTTATTAACGCACGATTGATTGCAGTTTCAACTGTTTCAAAGCGCGTTCAAGAAATTTTATATGCTGTATAAGTCACTTATTTCTACACTTTCCCTGCTTATAATTTGCAAGAATTCCACGTTTTCATAACCTGTGGAAAAGTCGTACACGGAGCCGATATGCCTCTTTAGCTCAGGGGTTAGAGCACTGGTCTAGTAAACCAGGGGTCCAGAGTTCAAATCTCTGATGAGGCTATAATTCTACTTTTTAAATGGAACTATAGATAAAGGATTTCGTAATTTAAGTTTTCCAACGTTTTGCTCTTCTTCAGCCTCAATGAAGTGCAGCTAATTCCAAAATATTTTTCAAATTTCAATAAAATAAATCTACAGTGTGTTGTGGAAATTTTAAAATTAGAGCTGTTTTATTCAAAACATAAATAAATGTTCTGCGCTGCAAAGGCTTAAATGAAATGGGAACCATATATTGCCCCCAAATTATAACAGAAGATCTATGGAGTAGTGTACTGGGAAAGGCAATTACTATAGAGATATATGAGCTAATGAACCTCAAAACCAATTCGTGCTTTCCAACGGTCATATTTCATATTTGCTTAAAGTGGTTTTCCCTTGTTTCACAATAACTCTCTTCGTAGTTCAAGATAATTTTGCTAACAGGAAACAAACGCTATGAAAGACTACGGCGAACAGTTGCCTCATTAGCTCAGTGGTTAGAGCACTGGTCTTGTAAACCAGGGGTCCGGAGTTCAATTCTCTGATGGGGCTCGTAACAGTGCGTAGTTTTTGAGAATAAAATCAAATTGATTTTCCGTGAAAAGATTGTCGTCGTAAAATTTGAAGCTGCATGTTTTTAAAAAATGGCAATGAGTATTCTGGAATTCCGTTGTCTTGCAACGGATTGTAAAATTTCGGTTTAACTAATTTGGAACCAAGAAATCATTTCCGCCCTCCACTATGAACCCACCTTAAAGTAGTGAGGCGTTGAACTAAAAACAAAGTTACATGCATAGAAAATTGCAAGTTTTCATAAAATGATCGAGTAAAACAAGGGTCCTTAGTTCAAATCTCTGATGAGGCCACAATTCTACTTTTCAAAGCGAACTGGATAAAGGATTTCGTAATTTAAGTTTTCCGACGTTTTGTACTACTTCAGCCTCAGTGCAGTATATATTTTAAAATTTAATTTCACTAATAAAAACAAAGAAATTGATAGAGTTTCATGTGAAATTCAAACTCATGACCTTCAGTTTACGAAACTGCTGCTCTACCCCAAACCAATGAGGCCCAACTTTTGCAACCGTACTTTGATCGTGAAAGATTTATTAACGCATGATTGATTGCAGTCTCAACTGTTCCAAAGCACGTGCAAGAAATTTAATATGCTGTAAGTTAATTATTTCTACACTTTCCCTGCTTATAATTTGCAAGAATTCCACGTTTTCATAACCTGTGGAAAGGTCGTGCACGGAGCGAATATGCCTCTTTAGCTCAGGGGTTAGAGCACTGGTCTAGTAAACCAGGGGTCGAGAGTGCAAATCTCTGATGAGGCTACAATTCTACTTTTAAAGCGAACTATAGATAAAGGATTTCGTAATTTAAGTTTTCGAACGTTTTGCACTTCTTCAGCCTCAGTGCAGTACAGCTTACTCCAAAATATTCAGTGGCGCAAATCTTCAGCTATATATGGGCCCCGGGCTGAAGTAGATCAGAGGGCCCCTTGATTATACATCCTCCGCAAAACATTTTACCATGCCAACCCTACGAATAGAATTTTGTGAGAGCACGAGGAACACACGGTCCAGTTATTGCGCTAAAGTCTGCAACAAAATTTGCGGGAATATATACTTAAGGCTACTGAACATAACTATATACTACTACATCAATTATACCCCTGTAAACACAGCAAATTGAAAAAACAGCTTCGTTTTCTATTGCTTAAACAATAGCAACAGCGACACCGACATCAATTAATATATACTGACAAGGTATAAGCAAACACAATTTAATTTGCATCCTAATTGTTTTAGTTAACTATTAGATTTATTTGTTCAGGCCTTTTTCTCTGCAAAGGTATCAATCATTTTGTCAATATCAAGCTATTTTCCCTCTTCAGCTTCAATAAAAATTACAGCAAGTGCATTCAATCTTTCCTGCGCCATTGTGGATCCTAAATAGTTTTTTATAATCTTAAGATTCCTAAATGATCATTCAGCAGTGGCTACAGTATTGGGCAGAGTAAGAAAAAGAAGTATTGATAGCAACTTGGAATAGGAGCTGGTCATTTCGTTTTCGCAATGATGCTTGAATACGTTAGCTGCACATGGACTTCTTATTGTCTTGCCATCTTCCATTTCGACAACGTCTTCCTGAAAAAATACTCTGTATAAGACAGCATTTTTTTACTTGGCAATAATCTTGTTGCTGTTCAGTTTTGGATCTCATATCAAATTGATAGATTTCAATGAAGTCTTCGGAGACAGAAAATTGAAAGTTTTGGCAACAAATTGCTGGCCTTTGGAACGTTCGTCTGGCTTTAAAGTAATAGTATAAATTATTGGAAAGAACAGTTCCACACGGAATTTGTTTCTGCATCAATGACAAGCTCGTCTGTAACCTCTTTGTCAAAGTATCTGGGAAACCTTTTTCTTTTTTCAACAAAAGGAACAGAAAGTCCAGAGTAAGAGCAAGGAATTTGGATTCTTTTAAACTCTTTCTCCATTGGCCTCCGCTCATTTCTTTTTCTTGTGCTTTTCCCAATTCGGAGGATAATTTGCCAAAATCCGTATATCAAATGCTTGCAGATCTCTAGATGCGAGATTAATTGCCGTAAGAATTCTTTCCCAGATGATAAGTGAAAGAAGAAATTCCAGAGTGCTTATTTTCTTTAACTGATCACTAGTCTTAGATTTTTCTTTGCTTTCACATCAATTACTGTATTGCATGCTTCATGAGGAGCTTGAGAATGTGGGGTAATCTGTTTTTCATCGGTCGTATGCTGTCTATTCTTGATGACTATCGGGTCTTGAAAAGCTTCCTAAGAGACAGACGTGATTTATCGGGTCTTTATGTTATCTTACAGCAAACATAGGCTAATTTGCATGCGAATTCGTTAATTTCAATACCAGACGCCCGGTCCCTAAATCGTATTACGAAGATGATATATATGTTAAAATTCTAAATTTAAAATTTTGAAAACTAAGTCAAAAAGATAAATAATTCTTACCTTTCGTTAGTTCGTAGGCAAATAATTAATATCACGAGGAAACACGAGGTGGGGACGTGAGGTGCATTAAAATCATTATAAAATAAGATAAACGATGCTTCCAGTCGGCATTTTGGATTTCACCAAATAACGTCCAAATTATAGTATAAACAATCGTTACAATTGAACATTGGTGGAAAAAGAGTGTTTGCAACTAAGACAAATCGTATTTTCACACTTTTAAAATACAATATTTGTATTACTTGAATTTAATATTAGCTAATGGCCCCCACTAGGTTCCTTCCCCAGGGCCCCTGGCTTCGGCCATGTTGGGCCCTTAGTAGTAACACCACTGCTCAGTGCAGTACAGCTAACTCCAAAAAAGTTTTCATTTTAATAAAATAAATCTAAAATTTGTTGTGGAAGTTTAATTGAGCTGTTTTATTCAAATATAAATAAAAAGTTCAGCTTTGCAAAGGCTTAAAACAAAGTGGGAATCATATTACACCCAAATAATATCCGAAGATCTATACTCTACAGATACGAGCTAATGATCCTCAAAGCCATTTCGTGCTTTCCAACGATCATGTTTCGTATTGGCGGCTTGTATAGTGAGGCGGATATGTGCAAAATTATTGATCAGTAGTTCCTGTTGAGGTTAAAAGCATCAAACTTTTACAATTGGTGTAGTTTTATTTGCTTAATAGATATTTGAAGTGGGGCCATCGCTATTTTGCTGCAAACGGGTGATTAGTGATTTTCTTCCATTGAATTCTATTATAGCCAAAAAATGTGAAATTTTCTGTTCAGTTACAACAAATATGACTTGCATCATCAGAAAGCTTATAAAAAACTGCATATAAGACGTTTAGACAGTTTTTTGATTTCTGAAATAGTTTTCGAATTATAAACTGTTAAAAACGCATTTTTAATTAAGGACTTTTAGCGAGATAATGTGCCTAATTTACAGCAATAACCATTTGAAGAATAAAAAAACTGTTTAAAAGTCTTTTATGTAATTTTTTACAAGCTTTCTGATGATGCAAGTTATATTTGTCGGGATTGAATTCAAAATTTCACATTTTTTGTTGCAGTAGAATTTAATAGCAAATAATGCTAATATCATCGTAACCACTGATCTGAAATAAGACTGGATAACGCATCTATAGTCAATCTCGTACCCAGAGCCATCGTTGAGTGGCTCTGGCCACACGAGTTGAGTTAATTAGAAAATACGCATTCTCGTACCCAGAGCCCTTCTTACGCGCGGTGTGACGAGGGGCTCTGGCCAAATCCATATTCCAAAATGGTATCTGATTGGCTAGTTCTAACACCGGACATTGTTTTCTTACCATGTTTTTTATGGTATCCGGTTATGGATTTGGCCAGAGCCCCTCGTCGCACCGCAGACTAGTCCCAAGTCCTCTGCGCACGCTTTTGATTTCGGTGACGTCACCGAGCGAAACGTGCGCAAGAGGCAACCTCGTTCCCAGGGCTTTTCCCTTTTTGTCATTGGGAAGGCGGGAAAAGGCCCTGGCACCGGCCGGTCACATGACTTTCAACACCCAGATATAGTGGGTGCAACAAATTATTGCTGCCGAAGGCAGCCTCCTATTCTTGACGATGTGTTATAGCGCATTTGAATAAATGAATTTCCCGCCAACAGTTTTATACACTTGAAGCATATCTCGATTTTTTGGTGTTTGTCGGCAGTTTGACGTCATATTATGACGTTGCAGTGAGGAATTCACATTGGAGCATTAT